CCCCCCGCCCAAACGGACAGGGCAGCCGGCCAATCAGGGGGCAGGTTGGGCGGTGGTGGTAACGCCCGCCCGGCGACGTGCGTGGGAACGTGAACCCCGGCGGGAACTTTAAAAAGGTGACCCCTTCCGCCCGGGGGGGGAAGGAGTGAGCGGTGGCAAGCAGGAGGGGAGGACAGCGTGCAGAGGAAGGGGAGAGCAGGGGGAAAAGCCCCCCCCCCTTCTCAGGAGTCCAGACCCGACGGCCACCCAGACGGCAGGACCAGCCCCGGCGGGAGGGGTGGGCGTCTGGATATACGACCGTCAGCCTGACGGACGAATCAAAGGTGACCGCCCCACGGTGGGGGGAGGTAGAGGGTCACACGAGGAGGGAAAGGAAGCAGCCCAGGGCAGAACTCGTTAGAGTTGGCGGGCTGACGAGTTACGGCAGGACCCCGTCAGCCGGACCGGAGCCAGCTGGTTCCATGTCCTTAGGGCCCTGGGCTGGGGCCCGTGAGTGAGGGTGGGCCCGGGCCCCCCTTTCCCTCCCCTTCAGAACTGGAGGGAGTGCATGGTCAGAGTACCGGCCACGCTGCGACAGAGGGCGCAATAGGCAACTGAAATTCCTCGTCGTGAAAGCGGCCCCCGAACTGCTGTTTGATAGTTAATGCGGCCCTCGGGCTGAAAAGTTTGGAGACCCCTGCTCTAAATGAAAACTATAGGACAAGACCCTCAAGATCACAGACTTAAACAAGTGGTGAACCCACTGACTCCTGGATCTATAATTTTTTGTTTAATTTTAAAAATCTTATGAAGAAAAATAAGAGGGCAAAAATGTCAAACTATGTAATATGGATTATTTTCTTTACCCTATAGCAGAAAGCTAAACACGAAGGAAGGGCTTAGGAAAGTCCCAGAATAGCTTTATCAGTATAACTTTTTTTCCCCTCTAGTTCCTTGTTCAGAGTTAGAGATAGTGATTCTTTCAGTGATATATACACCAGTCTAATAGCAAATTTTTTTGTCTGTATTACATGATGTTCTCAGCTTTTTGTCTTGTTGCTCAGAAAGAACTTAGCCCTACAGAGAATGTCTTCTCTTCCATATATAGCTTTTGCCATGCCTTGCAGAGGAAGGAGGCTGTCTGGAGATTTTTTTCCAAAGCTGCATAAGTGATTTGGGTGTTTGACTCCCTATTAAAATTTAATAGGGCTAATGTGTTCAAATCTACAGAGTGTATTTGAAGATCTCAGCCAAATGCATAAATTATGCAACTTTTAAAATGTGTAAATTACTTAACCCATCCTATCATGTAGCTAAAATATGGAGCATGTATAACCACCTACAGCCAGCTGTGGTTTGAAACTAGGCAGCTGTTTCTAACAGAGTGACTATATCTGAAAAAGGTGATATCTGAGAAGTGCAGAATATCAATTCCTGGAATGTAGGTAGTTAAAATGCATTTATCAGAATAAGAATTTGGCCTGGATCCTGTTAATATCATATCTCATGTAAAAAGTGCAACTGGGTTTTCTTTCAGCCCCAAATACATAAGACATTTTACATGAGACGGAGGTTGTCTCTTGTCAGCTATAGGTTCTGTTCATGAGAAACAAACTAAAGCTTAAAACAGAAATCCATAAAATACTTCAATCACACAATGCTTGGCATGATGATGCCCATTTTGGTTGGCACCTCCTGGGGACTACTGAAATACAAATAGTAATCATACTTCTTAGTAAGGTGCCATTTTTAAATTGTAAGGGTTAATCATTATTGGTCAAACATCCCTCTGTTTTTTTTAGCCCCTGGAGAAACTGATTCTCTGACCCCAACCCCTCCCAGAATTGCATACAATCCTAGACCCATAATGATATACATACATTTAAAACAATGTAATCCCAAAGAGATGGTGTGCAGTTGCAATATCTATTTTTAACCACTATATCATTTTCCACATTTGTACTTATAACCACCTAGAACACATACATCATCTATTAATAATGTATTCCACCTTATAAACCATTTAAAAACTTTCTTTGATCACTCTTTATAATAATGTTCTGATAAATTAGTGTGCACAATGGAAACTAAGCAAAGCTTGCAAGGGCAATGTTCAGCCAACGGTACAAACAAAGGAAGACCTTTTCTGTCAGCCTGAGTGGCTAGATGCATGAGATTATCAGATTATTGCTACCACTGGATAGCTGGAATTTCTCTCCTTGTAAGTTACCTGCTAGCATCTCTTCCACCCATTTGTAAAGCCTAGTGGCTTGTGAATTATTTATAAATGTGCTTTTTGGTATGGGCTGAAAAGGCCAAAATTTTTGTTTTATACCAAGGAAGAAAGGAAGCTTTTAGGTACTGAGACATTGACACATGTAAATTAGTGGCACTTGATTTAAATTGCTAGTTGAGCAAGCAAAAGAGTGAAAGACAATCCAGTTGCGTCTGGTAACTAACCTGAGCAGGTGAGTATGTTAATACTCTTGAGGAAAAACTGATAACCTCTTTTTTTTTTTAAAGATTTTTTTCTATATAGTGTTTTTTCCAGTTTTCTTTGAAAAAACACTCCCATTCTTGCTAAGGGTCTTCTCCGGTCCCTGTTAAATCTTTCTGTTGCTTTCAGTGGCAACTGAATACAGTCCAAAGCAGGGGTGCATAAATTAAATGAGTTACTCAGGCACTCAAGAACCTGTTAACTCTGTGGAATAGTGAAGCAGTACCATTTAACCCTCTATAAAGGCCAATTATAGTAAGTCCCAACTACTTTCTCTGTGAAATACAGTCGAGGGTGGATAGGTCCAACAATAGCTATTAGTCAAGATGGACATCCCTAACCTCTATCTGCCAGAAGCTGGGAGTGAATGATGGGTTAGATCACTCAATAACTGCACTGTTCTCTGCATTCCCTATGAAGGAGCTTGTTGAAAGATGGAATACTGGGTTAGATGGACCACTGCTCTGAAAAGAAGATTCCCATTAAAAATTGAACTAAACAAGAAAATATTCCATTCATTCAAGTGCTTGGTATTTGCATCATAAGAAATTTGTGTCTAAAAATCAAGCAGACAAGAATGGAATAAAGCTTTTTTGAAACATGGCAACTATATCCTAAAGAGGTGAAAGTGATCTGAGCCTACAATCCATTTCAGGTGTAAAGGCAAGTCCAACAAATAGATATTGCTGCTGGGATAAAAACTCATCTAAGACTTAAATATTGCAAATTTGGGTTTATTCCACAATTTGCAGGTCAGTAGAAAGCTATGGTACTTGAAAATCTTCCACATGTCACTCGCTAGCTACAAATCAAAACACAGCATTCTGTAGTCCATTCATTCATTGAGCCATCCAACTCTCCATACATTTCTATAGCACACTTTGACTCTGAAGTTCAGTTACCTATTAAACATTAGTAACGTGATGTCAAAGTGCAAATACCTAAAGTGAGTGTGGCTTGTTTGCTTACAAAATATTAAGCAATGATTATTTTCAAAATTAAAAAATGCACACGGACACCTGGGACAATCGGAATGGATTTTTCAGTGATAATTGAGATCTTCAGTCATACAGGAGCTGTAAAGAAAAGAGACAATGTCTTAAAGGAGATTTCTAATCATAGAATACTAGGACTGGAAGGGACCTCAAGAGGTCATCAAGTCCAGTCCCCTGCCCTCATGGGAGGATCCTGTACTGTCTAGACCAGGGGTGTCCAAACTTTTTTCAAGGAGGGCCAGATTTGATGAAGTGAACAAGCGTGAGGGCCGACCATTTTGCCTGACATTCTTTGAACCATTAAAATTAAATGCAAATTAACTATTTTATGCAAAGTTTATTGCAAACAGCATACTTTTCATTTCGTCACATGGATGACAAATCTAAACAGATCTAAATCTTTCATATCTGAAGGCCAGATGAAAAAAAAAATCCAAGAAGCTGAAATATATGTCAGGAACATTGTAAAGTACATTACATATTATTGGTAATAAAGGTTGTCTGTCAATTTTTAAGTTCAAAAAATATGAACAGGAACATAACACCAATTATACATGTTGGCTACATCTACACTGGCCCCTTTTCCGGAAGGGGCATGTTAATTTCAGCTATCGTAGTAGGGAAATCCGTGGGGGATTTAAATATCCCCCGCGGCATTTAAATAAAAATATCCGCCGCTTTTTTCCGGCTTTTAGAAAAGCCGGAAAAGAGCGTCTACACTGGAACTGAGGCCTGATCAGCACAGAGTAGAGTGGAAGAATGACTTCTTGTGTCTTGCTCACAACACACCTGTTAATGCATCCTAGAATCATGTTTGCTTTTTTTTTGCAACAGCATCACACTGTTGACTCATATTTAGCTTATGGTCCACTATAACCCCTAGATCCCTTTCTGCCGTACTCCTTCCTACACAGTTGCATCCCACTCTGTATGTGTGAAACTGAGTGTTCCTTCATAAGTGGAGCACTTTGCATTTGTCCTTATTAAACTTCATCCTGTTTACCTCAAACCATTTCTCCAATTTATCCAGACCATTTTGAATTATGACCCTATCTTCCAAAGCAGTTGCAACCCCTCCCAGTTTGGTATCATCTGCAAACTTAAGTGTACTCCCTAGCCGATATCTAAATCGTTGATGAAGATATTGAACAGAACCAGTCCCAAAACAGACCCGTGGCCAGGGGCGGATATAGGGCAGGGCGAGTGGGGCAGGCACCCTGGGTCCCGCACTTCAAGAAGCCCCGCGCATGCGCCATGGCAAAGGGGGGCCCCGTTAATGCATCCTAGAATCATGTTTGCTTTTTTTTTGCAACAGCATCATACTGTTGACTCATATTTAGCTTATGGTCCACTATAACCCCTAGATCCCTTTCTGCCGTACTCCTTCCTACACAGTTGCATCCCACCTAGCCAGTTATGTGCCCACCTTATAGTAGCCTCATCTAAGTTGTATTTGCCTAGTTTATTGATAAGAATATCATGCGAGACCGTATAAAATGCCTTACTAAAGTCTAGGTATATCACGTCAACTGCATCTCCCTTATCTACAAGACTCGTTATCCTATCAAAGAAAGCTATCGGATTGGTTTGACATGATTTGTTCTTTACAAATCCATGCTGCCTGTTCCCTATCACCTTATTATCTTCCAAGTGTTTGCAGATGATTTCCTTAATTACTTGCTCCTTACAGAAGTTAAACTGACTGGTCTGTAGTTTCGTGGGTTGTTTTTATTTCCCTTTTTATAGATGTGCACTATGTTTGCCCTTTTCCAGTCTTCTGAATTGGAATGAAAGTAACAAGTTTATAACTGAACTATGTAATGAATTAGACTTAATACAGAAAGAACAACAATATTTGCTCTAAAATTCTAAAGTAAAAAATGAAATCTGTAGCAAAACTCCTATTTATGTATATAGGACTTAGATTTCATGCACACACCTTGTAGAACTCATTTAGGTCCATTTTGGAGGGCTAATCCTGAGATGCGTTGAGCACCTTGAATTTCCCTTCGTATCAACCTAATGGGAGATGATAGTACTTAGCAACTCAGAGAGGGTGCACTGCACCTGAAACAACTGGATTCTAAATTATATCCTTGTAAAATGGCAGATAAAAGTGCCTAGGTCATGAACTAGAGTAATAAACTGCTTTGTTCAAAGTGTGTTCTATACTAATAAACCATTAACATTTTAAAATTCCTTAAAACGAAAAACAGACCTGTCCTAGATGGATTGTTTACTTTGCTTTTTTAAAAACCCTGTCAGAAACATGGTGAAAATCTATGATCTTGGCAAGCTGGGAGTTTTCTCATTGATTTCAACAAACTGAAATTTCACCTTGAGATTTTTTTCAACTGTCATTAGGCCCAAATTTTTTTGTTAAGCAACAACATAGATCATAGCACAGACTTAATATCGTTCTCCTTGTACCTGCTCAACAAAATGAGTGTCTGTCCATATCTCTTCATGTCCTCCTCTAAGACAGAAACAGAACTACCTTCTATTTCATATTTTGATCCTGTAGAAACTTTTCTCTGCATCCTCTAACCCCCAAGTTTCTCCTCCTGAAACCCAGCAGCACTATTTTCCCCTAACACTATGCATCCACAGTGCTCCAGGATATGCTCTCTGTAGCAGTTATAGATGAAGTCAGAGCTCAAGGCAGAGCAAGTATGTCCTCAGTGTGTTCCTCCCCATCCAGGCTCTCATAGTTTTCCATGTGCCCAGCCCTTGGGGGGGAGAACAAACATACTTTTATATGTATAAGGTTGGTGCTGATGACTACTACATTCAATTATTGAAATACAAGAACTATTTCCAAAGGATAAAGTAGAGGGAGGTGCAACAGGACAACATGTGCCTATTGATGGGACACCAGACTGGGCTCAGACCTAAGTTCTGTTCCTGGTTCTGCCTCTGACCTTTTGTCTGATTGTATGTAAATCACTTCACCTCTGAATGCCTCCATTTTCCCCTCCCACTTTTCTCAGACTAAGCTCTCTCAGCAGGGAATGGCTTTTCCCTATGTATTTGTACAGAACATGGGGCACATCTACACAGGGGAGTTTCTTCGAAATAACTCCCCTTATTTTGAAATAACAGGGCAAGCATTCACACTATCAAGCTGCTACTCTTTTCCCTGGTATGGATGGCAGTTCTCCTCCTTGGAGGAACACTTTCCCACCCTTGACCATGTCTTCACTCTGGGGAAGATTGCTGCTGCGATCAATCTTCTGGAGTTAGATTTAGTAGGTCTATCAAAGACTCACTAAATGGAACTCAGAGGGCCATTGGTGGCTGGTATTCCTGCTCTTGTGAGAAGTAAGAGAAGCAGAAAAGAGCATTTGCTCCCATCAGCTTCCCACTGTGGGGACAGTGGGGAAACTCAACTCAAGGTACATTGACTTCAGCTACATAATTTACAGAGTTGGAGTTGTGTATCTTAATTTGACCTGCCCTTTTAGTGTAGACCTGGCCTTAGTCCACTCTTTCTATCTATTAGATATTGTAGCAGTTTTTTGACTGGTTACAGTCTATCTTTTTAGTTACTCAGTGACCTTGTAACATTTGTGTCTTTATAATAAAATTTTAGGATTACGGCTGGGAAGCCTAGAATAGCTGTAACACCAGTATACCACAAGGGAAACCATGACAAACCTGGCTGATAGCTCTTTTTGTTTAGCATATCACAAGGCTCAATCGGCCATTTTTAAACTTGTAATCAAAATGGCCACCATTTCCTATTACTGGGCCTAAAGTCTGCAAGATGGCCACCATTTCCCTAAAGTCAGTTTGTAGGTGGAAGCTAGGCTGCCCTTACTACAATTGGATGCTACTTCCTACCATTTTCAATTGAGTTAAAGCCATGTCCTCAGGCAAAGTAGTCATGACTCTATGGTTCCAGGAGCTAGACTGGACATAGGAACAGAGAGGACCAGCAAAGTGACTATGGAAGCTGAGTGAGAGGAGGAACAGGGCAGTGAATGGAACAAGAGACAGATGATGGTTGCAAGGCGATATGACGTCCGCCTGCCAAACTCTCATGAATAAGTCACAGGATTTTTGCTGCAGGAGGAGCTGTCATAAGAGGAACTTCTCCAATCCTGTAATTCTTTTTTCCAAGTATGTACACGGGGAAGCTGTGAGAGAGAGCCTGGGTGCTGACAGATGGCCTTAATGCACAGAAAAGAAGGGTCACAGAGCAATAGGGAGGAGTCGTCAGGAAAGTGATGCTGCTGGGTCACAAACACAGAAATCTGGGGAGAGCCGGAGACAGAAGAATGTTGTTGCTGGGCTGAGACAGTACTAGGGGGCTGCCTTTCACGTCCTAGCTTAGGGATGATCTGAACAACTAAGGAGACTTGTACATTTGTGTGAATTAAAGCTTGACTTTTCATCCTGAAATTCTCTCATGCTCACAAATGAATAACGGAAGTTTAAAAGTCTAAAGACAGACTATGCTTAACATATACTTCAGTAATGAGCATGGTAATGAGAAAGTAATATTCCAAGAATGATTGAAATATACCTGGGTAATAAGCTTCACATTCAAATCAGCATAAGACTCAGATTAGTAAGCATTTGTCTGATACACAGTGAAAATAGCTACATGTTTTCAACAATTACAAAACATGTGGTTCAAATATTATAAAACCATGGGTAAATGTCCTAAGGAAGTTTTAGAGAGGTAGCTGTGTCAGTCTGTTTCAGTAAAAACAGAGTCCTGTGGTACCTTAAAGACTAACAAATAGATTAGGGCATATGCTTTTCTGGGCTGCAGCTCACTTTGTCAGTTGGGAGTGACATGTCCGTATTAATGAGGTTAACAGAGTCTGGGTGTATGGCTATGTCTACACTACAGAGGTTTTTTTGAAAAAACTTGAATTACATCCACATTGCAATCGTGTTCTTTCGAAAGAAAATCAAAAGAACAGAGGACTTTCTGACATTGGTAAACCTCTTTCTAAGAGGAAGAAGCCTTTTTCCGAAAGAGCTCTTTTGGGAAAAGGCATGTGTAGATGGGGAAGAGGGAGTTCTTTTGAAAGAGGAGAAAAAGCACAGGTGCCCTGGTGGCCACTCCATCCATAGTAATCACAGCTTAGATGTGAAATAGCATCCACGTTGATTAGATGCTATCTTTTGAAAAAGCAGATTTTTTTTTAAGCGCTTTTGCTCTGTAGATGGTCTCTTTCTGAAGAAGTTTTTTTCAGAAGATCTCTTCCGGAAAAGCTTCTTGTGAAAGAAGCCTGCAGTCTAGACATAGCCTATGTGGTCCACTTTCAACAGTGATAAGAAAGTGAGAATACCTAAAGGGGAAAATTGCTACTTGTAATGAGAGAGCCATTCCCTATTTGGACCCATTCTGTTAGGCTACGTCTAGACTGGCCCCTTCTCCGGAAGAGGCATGCAAAGCAGGCAAGTCAGAATAGGGAAATCCGCAGGGGATTTAAATATCCCCCGCGGGATTTAAATAAACATGGCCGCCGCTTTTTTCCGGCTTGGGGAAAAGCCGGAAAAGAGCGTCTAGACTGGCACGATCCTCCGGAATAAAGCCCTTTTCCGGAGGATCTCTTATTCCTACTTTTCCCCAAGCTGGGAAAAAAGCGGCGGCCATGTTTATTTAAATCCCGCGGGGGATATTTAAATCCCGCGGGGATTTCCCTATTCTGACTTGCCTGCTTCGCATGCCTCTTCCGGAGAAGGGGCCAGTCTAGACGTAGCCCCAGTGTCTATTTGCAATATGAATTCCATTTCAGTAGTTTCACTTTAAGCCTGTTGTGCTTTTTGGTTGTTTTTTCTCAAGTATGGTAACTTTCAAGTCTAACTGTGTGTCCAAGTTCCAGTGGATATCCTACTGGCTTTTGTATGTTACCATTCTTGGTGTCTGATTTGTGTCTGTTTATTTTTTTATTAAGACACAGTCCAATTTATCCAATGTACATAGCAGAAGGGCATTGCTGGCACATATTACAATTGCAGATGTACATGTGTACAAGCCAAGCACTTGATGGAATGGCTGATGTGGTTAGGTCCTATAATGGTATCACTAGAGTAGATCTGTGGACGGAGTTGGCAACGGGGTTTGTTGCAAGGATTGGTTCCTGGGTTAGTGTTTCTGTGAGGGGAGCTGATGGTGAGTATTCATTTCAGGTTGGGAGGAACTGTCTAAGTGAGGACTAGCCTGCCTACCAAGGGTATGTGAGTGAGGATCATCAACTAGGATTGGTTTTAGATCCTAGATGATGTGTTGAAGAGGCTTTTGCTGGAGACTTTAGGTTATGGCCAGTGACGTTCTGTTGCGTTCTTTGTTATATCTGTCCTGTAGTAAGTGATGTTAGATACCCACCTGGCTCTGTCCATCTGTTTCTTCACTTTCCCAGATGGGTATTGTAGTTTTAAGAATGCTTGGTAGAGATCCTGTGCTGTTCATCTCTATCTGAGGGATTGGAACAAATATGGTTGTATCTTAGGGCTTGGCAATAGACAGTGGATTGTGTGATGTGTTCTTGATGAAAGCTGGACATGTGTCGGTAAGTATAGTGGTCAGTGGGTTTCCGGTTTAGGGTGGTGGTTATGCAACCATTATCTATTTGCACTATAGTATCCAGGAAGTGGATATCTTGTGTGGACTGATCCAAGATGAGATTATTGGTGAGGTGGAAACTGTTGCCTCCTTCCCATGGGTCCAGAGGATGATGTCATCAGTGTAGCACAAATAGGGAAGGTGCACTTGGGGATAAGAGCGGAGGAAGAGTTTTCTGAAGTCAGCTATGACAATGTTGGCATACTGTGGGGCCAATGGAGCTGAAAGCCACTGCAGGCCCCAGGGCAAAGTGTGGGAAGGGGCAGCTCTATGCCCCTGGAAAAGTCAGGGCCTCAAGCAGAAGGAGTGGGGCTGTGGCAGCCAGCCTTCAGCACTGCCCATGCCATGGTACTGCAGCCCTCAAAGCCACACGGAGCTGTGCTCTCGCAGCAATTCAAAGAGGTCTGGAGCTCTGCCTGCTGCCGCTGCTATTGTAGGCGGACCTGTGTGGCACCATGCAGTGTGAAACTGCTGAGCTGGAATTCCCATGCAAATTTGACACCATCAGAATGGGTCTGACTAGGGACTGGAAATGGCTTTCATTACAATAAGTAATTTTCCCTTTTAGATAGTCTTATCTTCTAATCACAGTTGAAAGTGGGCCTCAAACACCCTGATTGAATTAGCCTCATTAACATATCACTGTGTTAATGAGGCTAATTCAACTTTTGTGTGTGTAATATATAATATCCCTGCCATCCAATTCTTTCACTTCATGCATCTGATGAAGTGGGCAATAGCCTGCAAAAGCTTATGCCCTAATAAATTTGTTAGTCTTTAAGGTGCCACAAGACTCCGTGTTTTGTCCCAGTAATTTTACCAATGGGAAGGAGATGACCCAAGCATGTTTGAGTTACCTTGCACAAGTCAAAACTCATATGAGTATACACTGCAATTTGACAATGTGCATGTTTGATTTTGTATTCCTTCTCTATTTAATATTTTCTTCCAGCAGTCACATGTGACAAGTTACACTCATATAATAGTATGGCCTTTTTTACTAGCTAAACAAATATTGTACTGTTCAATACATGGCCATAAAATTGAATTTCACATTGGACACACTGATTGAAATATATTAAGTTTTCACTGTTTTTAAAGAGCTTAACAGAAGCATGTTTAGAATAGCATAAGCCCCTGACACAGGTAAACCACAATTGGGTCATGAGCCACAAAGCAGCAAAAAACAGGATTAACTGTTTGAATTTGCCAGATCTTTTCTATGCTGTTTCTGAAAGGTGTGAAAATAGATGAGTAAAGATATAGAAGATGGCAAAGTGAATCCTCAGCTGACAACTTGTGCTTTGCAACTAAACAAAGGAGTTAATTGCAGACTTGAGGCAGTTACATCTTAACCACAAAAGACATTAGATATGGAAGCCATCCTGAAGTACTCTAGTTATGAATAACAACATACATTTGTCCTCTCGACAAAGAAAAATCTGCCAAAAAGAACACTTGCCTGCAAAGCCATTACATGCTTTGTGATCAGACCCAACTCTTGGATGAAGGGAACATGGAGGGAGGATTTCACAAACATTCATGCTTCCATCTCCTGCACAGCCTGCCTTGTCCACTCCAGTTCCTAAGTACAGTAGACCCTTGTGCTTTGTGGAATTGCTATCTGTGGTTCTATGTATTTGCCAGTCTCCTGTCCTGGTAGGGGCTAGGAGCCACAATGAGTTCCTCACAGCTCCCAGCAGCTGTACGGAGCTCACTGTGGGGGCCGGAAGCTGAGGTTCCTAGTAGTCATGAATTTCACCATTCATAGGGAATGCAAGAACTCTACTCTTCCCCCACCTGCCCATACTCTGTTCCTATGTCTCCTATTTGCCCCAATTCAACTCCTTTGTATTGTGACTACATGCCACTCCCTCCGACTCAATGCTATATTTCTATTCTTTCAGCTCTGTTCTACTCCCCTGCCTTTTCAGCCAATTCCCATATGTATCTCCTGTGACCCAGGCCCTTATGTGCTCCATGCATTAGACTTACCCATTGTAATCCTGGAGCACTTTCACATGCTGCCTGTTCAGAACTTCAGGGCCGCTCGTATTGCCTGGCAGGCTGCTCTCTTAACCTCTAGAACCCGCTGAGGCCAGCCTGACTGGTAGACAGCCACCTGAACCTGCACTTCTTCCTCTGTCCCATCATGCCCTGACAACAAATCACAACAGAAGACTCCATCCAGTAGGCACTTCAGCCACCGCAGTGCCTTCACCTCTTGTTCCAGGTTCATTTCTGGATCTGGGTCTGCTTGCACAATCACCCCAACCAGAGCCACTGGGATATAGTAGATACAGCTCTTCAGCTGTTGTAGCATCTCCAGTAATCGGTCTAGCCCCACACAGCATGTCAAGGAGGAGGCTCTGCACAGGAAGAAGATAAGCTGTGAGTAGATTCTGTCCTGATGCCTGGAACAGCCAAATTTATGAAATGAGAAGCCTCTTTCAGTCCTGCTGCTGGTTGCTTGATTACAAGCCACTATGTTAGTCGCACAGAATGCTGGTATAGGAAACTTAGCAAACATTTCCTGTTGGAACTCCTCCACTATGTGTTGGCTCTGCAATTCCCCAACCAGGTGTACATTACCTCCCATCATAAACTGCAGGGTCACAAACTCCAATTCCATTTTCTCGCCATGGGGAAGAGCAGAAGTGGCAACCACTGTTAACAGGTCCTTCACCAGTTTCACACCCACTTCCTGGTTTTCCTGAACCTGCTCCTTGACCTCTGCCTGTGCTCTTCCATCCAGCTTCATTATCTTCCCTTTATCTCTTCCAGCCTGCTCTGTGACTTCCATCCAGGCTCTTCCATCCAACTCCACCTTTCTTTGGGCTCCCATAGTCTGTTCTGTGACCATTTGCCGGACTCTTCCATCCACCTCCATGATCTTCCCTTTAGCTCCCACAGGCTGCTGCATGACTTCCTCCCAGCCTCTTCCACCCAATTCCATCTTCCCTTGGGCTCCCCCCACCTGCTCCATGACTTCTTTCTGGGCTCTTCCATCCAGTTCCATGATCTTGCCCCGTGCTCCACCAGCCTGCTGTGTGATTTCCTCCCAGTCCCTTCCACTCAATTCCATCTTCCCTTGGGCTCCCAGAGTCTGCTCTGTGACCACTTCCCAGGCTTTTCCATCCAGCTCCATGATCTTCCTTCGAGTTCCCCATGCCTGCTCCATTACTTCCTCCTGAGCTCTTCCCTCCATATCCATGATCCCTTGGGCTCCCATAGCCTGCTCTGTGATGTCTTCCTGTGGTCTTCCATTCAGCTCCATGATCTTCCCTTGGGTTCCCTCAGCCTGCTGCACTACCTCCTCCCAAGCTTCCTCTTCTTGCTCCATACACCTCTCCTGAGTTTCTCCATTCATCTCCATTAATGTCCACTTGGACTGTTCCCTCTTGTTCTGTTTCCTTCTGGCTCCCTCTTTCCTTTCTTCATTTCTCCATGTCCTCCCCACCTCTGACTCTTGGTTTCTTGTTGCTAGCCATGTGAATGGACCCTTTTGTGTCACAATACACACCCACCTGACTCACTCCTACAGTGAGGCTGATGTTACACATCCCCATTCTTCTTCATAGCATTTCACAGGGTTTTAACTAAAACCCTTTTCAGGTAAATAAATAGGCAAAGGTAGATAATGAGAAAATGTTACAGTTTTTTGGTTTTTTTTTAAAGGCCCACTCTACAAAAAAGGAACCACAGGATCTACATTGATTTACAGTCCTGCACCTGTGATATCTGAGAGAATAGGAAAAAAGAAAACAAGGAAACTACTTTTGGAGAAAGGAAAGAGTACAGCCTCACAATATCGGCCTCTATCTTGTTTGCCAAATCAGAACTGGACAGCATTAAAAAATGGACACACATAGACTAAAACTTGTCTTGATTGATTTTGGGCTATGCTTTTATACCATCACATATAAATAATGCCATTGATGTTCATCAGCATTTCCTGACCAGAAGCTGCTATCTGTGTTCAAGGAAAATATGATGGGAATGGGTGTGTAAACAGAACCCTATCTTGCATCCCAAAAGAGAATGTAGGAATGACACAATGTGAATGTCAAATAGATTGTCCTAAAATAATTCCTCAGATAATGCAATGGTTTGACTAGGACAGATGTTTTCCCTCAGTTTCCTGTCACTGAGAAATATTTTTTGACTAGTCCTGTTTGTCATCACCTCCTGCTCTCATTTCATGTGCTCTTAAATAGCAGATTCTCTCTACAGTTAGTAATTCATAATCACTGGGATTAGGTATTAGGGTTTTTTTATATATCTCCATGTTGTCTTCTTGAGAGTCACTGTCAAGATTATGTTGCTGCTGTTTCCAAGATGTTCTTCAGATGGTACAAGCCTTGCTAGCTTGGAACCCACCCCAACAAACCTTGGTTTGGTTCTAAGTAAGTTCCCATAGTGACATTCTAGTGCTAGTGACATTCCAGTGGGAACACTACTGATTAAAGAGACAATCCTTTCCTTGACCCTGGCGCACACATAAAAAGCACGCTCATACAAATGAACACAAATACACCATTCTGTCAAATGAAAGTAGCTTCAGTGTCATGATGGGGCGTTGGCTAAGCACTGACCCAGAGGGAAGAGTAGCACCACCTGCATTACTCACAACACCACCTGCAGCACCGTTAAGAAGCAGTGGTTTGGGGAAAGGTTGGGTTTTTTTAGATAAAAAAATTAATAAGATGAAAATTTAAACAAGAGAATACACAGCCTCAGTAGGAAAAGTAAATCCATGGAGCTGTGAGTTTGGTTGAATTCCTCAATTATAGAATCCCTCTGTAAGGCTATATCTTCAGAGAGCTATCACCTGGGGAAGGGGAGGGGATGCAGCTACCGCTGCCGGCTATAAATGGAGAAGCTGTCTCCAGCCTCCACTGAGGTGTTGGGCAAAAGATGATCTGCAGGCTGGTTCCAGCCATCAGAGCCTCAGCCAGCTCTCTGCCTACCTCACACCCACTCAGCACTCCGGAAAGCCGGGTGCAGGGCCACATGTGTGTTTCTGAACCTGGAGAGAGGAGAAATAAGCTTTTTATGCTGCTTCCTCCCCCCCCCCCCCCCCCCAGTAGCTTCCATTGGCCAGTTTTGACCAATAACAGCTGTCTGTGTGCAGGACAAGCAGCATATGAAGTGCTCTTCCTCCCTCATTCCCTGGGCTCACAGCATTCTGTTTAGAGCAATATAGCCACTCTCCAAGTTACGAACAAGTTATGGACTAACACTTGGTCTGTAACTCAAAGTGTTCGTAACTCGGATCCCATAGAGTTACATGGCGACCGTGCTGTTCGTAAGCGTGGATCACTGTTCATAACTCGGATCTGCATTTACAACCACTTTGTGGAGGTGGTTGAAACTCGGGGAGGGGCTGTAAACATGGTTCCTGTAGCTCCCCATAGCACATACAGGGGCTGGAAGGTATGGACCCTGGCTAAGGAAACTGCTGGGCTGCTGGCTGGGAGCCAGGTAAGGTCTCCCACTCCAACCCTCTGCCCACCAACCCCATGTAACCCAAATCTTCTACTCCAGCGCCCATACACCTCCCCAGACACTGCATCCCCTCCTACACCACTCCTCGAGTCACAATACCCTCTCAGATCTTGCACCCTAATCTGCTATCCCTGGTCCCAGCCCAAATCCCTGCACCCCTCCTGCACCAGGTTACAACCCCTCCCAGGCCTTGCATCTCCTCCTCACCCCAGTCTGGTGCCCCAGTCATGATCCTCTACTTCACCCACACTCCTTCCCAGATCCCATTCCCTTACTCCAATCTTCCTTCTGCACCCAACCTACACCCAGACCCCCCGCATCTCTTCCATTAATATAATAAAAGAGTGCAGCCCTCAACCCTCAACCACTTACCAAATTCTTGGAGTCCTCCTCCCCCCCCTCTCCATAAAAAATGATTACCCATCCCTGTCTTAATGGCTTACGGTAAGAAAGAAAAAAATTTTTAACAGACTTTGAGTGTTGCAGATACCAAACTCTGATCTTAATGATTTTTTTAAAATCCTGTGTTACTAATTAATACATGGCAAACTGTATAGCATTAAGGTCAGATTTTTGTTATGTGGTAGAGTTCTGGCTCTAATGAGTCAGAAGCAGCAAATACTAGGTGTGATGCTGGCTGTTTTTTACAATGAAATCTTCTTGGCAAGATCTTTGAAACATGCATCTGTCTGTTAGAAAGGATGATACATGTACTCGAAGGCCTAGGAGGGGTAGCCATGTTAGTCTAACTAAACAAAAAAATAGCCCTGTAGCACCTTAGACTAACAAATATATAAATAGTAGCATGAGCTTTCAAGGACACAACCTATTTCTTCAAACAAGGGTAATACAAAGAAAATTAATATCTGATTTCATAGTAAATAATAGTCATAAGCACTGCTCCTTGTGAATTATCCATTGTTTTAATATATTTTCTTCCACAGCTACGGACTATTTGAAATATATAGAAAAACTTAAACAACAAAAAGTCTAGTACAGTGGTCCCCAACCATTTGACGTTGCCGGGCACCAGAGGGCGGGGCCGCGCATATGCCACACCCCCATGAGCCGCGCACCAGGGGCTGGCACTCCCCATGTGCCGCGCGCCCGGAGCACAGACAGCTGCTTTGCCGTGTGCCCAGGGACGGCACCCTTCCCCTCCTGTAGATGCGCGCCCGGGACCGGTGCTCCCCATGTGCTGCGTGCCCAGAGTGCAGGCGGCCACTTCGCCGTATGCCTGGGGCTGGCGCCCCTCCCCCCCATAGCCGCGCACCCGGAGTGCGGGCAGCCACTTTGCCGCACTCCCGGGGCCAGCACTCACCGTGCGCCACGCCGGCTCCAGCACAGCGCATGTGCCACGGGTCCAGGGCCAGGCCAGCCCTGAGCACTTGGCGGGCGCACACAAATGTCCCCGTGGGCGCCATGGTGCCCGCGGGCACCGTGTTGGGGACCACTGGTCTAGTAGCACCTTAAGAACTAACAATAGGTAGCATGAGCTTTCGTGGGCAAGCCCCCCTGTTTCAGATGACTGGAGTATTAACAGTCCAGACTCCGCTTTTAAAATATATAGTTGTAGCGCTGGTTTCTGGTTGTAGGGGTGGGGGCACATCCGCACCCGACCTCAAGATTGGTGTTGCATACAGGACAATTCAACCCCCCCTCCCAGGATGGAAAATCTCAGAGGGAAGGGGGGAGTATAACTATGGGAGTGGGGCTCCAGGGGGGGAGGGGAATGGCTGAGGGATACGGTTATGGGACTGACCACAGGGCGGGGGGCTGTACCCTGGCAAGGCGGGCTGGGAGTTACCTGG